GTTGCATTGTGGTAAATTGTAGTCAATGTCATGAGACAAAGTGTATGTGAACTGCTGTATAAAAAGTGAATTTGCTCTGTTATTTTTCACCCAAATCACAATTTAAAAAAAAAAAAAAAACCTACCTGAAGGCACCCAACCACCACCCACTCCACAGTGAATTCCTTGGTGGAACCTGCTTGCTCAGCCAGATTATCTTTACACTTCACAAGCAGCAAAAACTGATTTGAATTGAATCATCTGCCCCTAAGCCCTGGCAGAACTGCCCAGAACTAGCCTGGCTGTCACAGCAGAAATGAAACCAAAACTGAAGGAAAATACAGAATTGGGAAGTCCTTCAAAGCTCAGGAGCACTGAGGTTGCCAGTGAGACAATCAAGGAGTCAAGATCCTCCCCAAACCACTCCTCTGCCCCCTCAGGGAGTCACTGTTCCCAGGAAGGATCAGGGGAGGGGTATTTACCTTGGCTCTGCTAGCGTTCTCCTTGGGGCCCTCAAGCTGCAGCCAGATGTGAGGATTCTCCAGACAGTCCTTGGGGAGGACACTCACAACTACGCTGAAGATGCGCTCTACGTCCGGCTGCTGCTCCCGCACCTTGTCCTCCGCCGCCGCAGACACCGCAAAGCGGTCGGGGGACTGGAAGATGGCCCCCCCGGTAGGCATGGCTGCTTCGCCTAACCCTGAAAGGTGAGAAGGGAACTCTGAGCCTCAAATCTACACCTCAACCTACATCTTGGTATTCTGGCCCACACCAGCTATCAACAGCCTCCGCACCTAGTTCTTGTTGTTGTTGTTGTTGTTGTTATGTGCCGTCGAGTCGACCCCGACTCATAGCGACCCCTCCTTGGGTTTCCGAGGCAGTATCACTACGGAAGTAGGATTGCCCAACCTTCCTTCCGAGGAGTGGCTGGTGGGTTTGAACCGCCAGCCTTCTGGTTAGCAGGCAAGTGTCTTAGCCACTATGCTACCAGAGCTCCTGCACCTAGTTCTAGTTATGGTAAACAACCCCAGGGGATGACAGGCATCCTAGTCCATCATGGGATTAGGGCAACGCAACGCACTGCCACCGAGTGGAATCCGATTCATAGCGACCCCTCCTTGGGTTTCTGAGGCGGCATGGAGAGGGACTCATGGATAAACAAGATTATCTCTGGGATGGGCGTCTCGCCTGTTGAAAATAATGGCCACAGCCCTGAGTTGGAAAGGTGGGGGACTCCAGCTTGGTCTGGAAGCTAAAAAGAATGGACAGCTGACGGAGGGGTCTTGGGATAGCCTCTCCTCTGGGGCTAACTCCTTACTAGGACTCGAACCGGACTCTCCTTTGGGGTCCCAGTCTGCATTTCCAAGGTCTTTGCCACTCCCACCCCTTCCCCCAGGCGTCGGCCGCCCCCTAGCGTCATGCCAAGTGCCCCATCTCAGGCCCAGGGGCCGCTACGTGCTCAGCCCACTGCCACCGCCCCCGTGCAAGCTGCCAGGGCAGCCTCAGGCGCTCGCGCTCAGACTTCGGCCTCCCAGTCCCTGCACCTCCGCGGGGCGAGAAGGGCGCCTACCCGCCATGGCCGCCGGCTCCAACCTCGTCCCGCTGGCGCCTCCAGGTACCCCGAGCCCCCAGCTTCGCCCAGGGAAGAAGGGCAGGCAAGGGACCTGAATCTGGGCGGGCCTTCCCGGACTCTTCACCCAACGGGGGCCTCTAGTCCCCACATCGCCAAATGTTTTTTTGAGTCACTTCCTGGCTTTGGGCGGGGTCAGCCTGGCTCCTCCCGGGGGCTGGGCCTGTGCGGGCCCCGATTTCGCCGCCGGGCGGGAGGAGGCGCCCCGCGGCGGGCTCCCGCTCCGCCTTTCCAGGCTGGCTTGTGGCGAGGCCCAGCCCACTCGCTGTCTCTCCTTTTCTCCACACCTCTGTCTTCAGCTCTCCCGGCTCCTTTTGGGTTCTTGCTAGTTCTGCGCAGCTGATTCTCATTAAAGAGGAGCCACTCCTGGAAAGTTGGGGGTGAAGAGAGCCTTAAAGTTCGTCTAGTCCACTCCCTTTAGGAGCTCTGGTAGCATAGTAGCTAAGGCACTTGACTGCTAACCAGAAGGCTGGCGGTTCAAACCCACCGGACACTCCTAGGAAGGAAGATGGGGCAATCTACTTCCCTAGTGATACTGCCTCAGAAACCCAAGGAGGACTTGCTTTCAGTCGGGTCCGACTCCATGACACATAACAACAACAACAGTCCACTCCCTTCGGATGAAATGATGGAAGACCAAAGAGGGCAAGTAACTGGCTCAAGGTCACAAGTTAAGTGACTCTCGTAGCCCAATCACTTTCCACAAAACAATTGTGGGAGAAAAGTCAAGGGCACCCTTTTCTTCCAATAAATGGAAAAAATGCCACAGAGAAAAGCCGTTGACTTGTGAGGAGTTTTGAACGGGGGAATGAGGGGGAGGAAGGTACTATGGGAACTGGCCTCTCTCTCTCTCTCTCTCTCTCTCTCTCTCACACACACACACACACATTCTCTTACATATACACACTCAAATTCACAATTCACATTCACACATATTCTCACGCACACATATTTTCACACACACATATACACACACGCCTGCGCTCACACACCCATGATTTTTAATGCCCCAATTACAGCCTTCATTGCCATCCTGAGGTGCTGCCCTGGGGTTCTGGCTGTGGCCCTCCTCTCCCTCCCAGGGCCCGACTGCCGTCATTTTATGCTCTGCCAAAGGGGAGGGAACTGCAGTGACAGCAGAAGTAACTGAGTGAGAGGCAGGACAGTCTTGGGGCAGAGAGGTATGGAAAAGGAGGTGCTAAAGCCTGGTAACAGTGAGACCAGAGAGAGGGTTGAGGAACTGGGTGAGGGCTGTTGAGAGCCTGGGGGAGTACAGAGGAGACCAAAAGGAGCAAGGGTGAGGGAGCAGAGGAGAGGGGGACTGGTGAGTCTCAGAGCCACTCAGTCATGCTGGGAGCAAAGCGAATCTGGCCACCAGGTTCCCTGGGACTCAGCCCTGGGCCACCCTTGGCCCTGATATTTCTGGCACTGGGGGCCGGGTGGGCCCAGGAGGGGTCAGAACCTGTGCTGCTAGAGGGTGAATGCCTGGTGGTCTGTGAGCCCAGCCGTGCTGCTACAGGGGAGCCTGGGGGAGCAGCCCTTGGAGAAGCCCCCCCAGGACGAGTGGCATTTGCTGCAGTCCGAAGCCACCACCATGAGCCATCAGGAGAGACAGGCAACGGCACCAGTGGAGCCATCTACTTTGACCAGGTAACTCCCTCCCACCCTCCAGGGTACCTGGAAGGACCATGCCAGGACCTGGAATAACTGTCCAAGCCCACTTTGCTGCCCCTCATACTTTCAGAACACAGCTTCCTACATCTCCCCTAACACCACCAATTGCCCCAATATTTCCCTTCCCTAACCTCATCCATTCACCCTTCATGACCCTTCCTACTCTTTCTTTTGAATCTGTGCATTCCTCCTGTTTGGTCCTACTTGACCCCTCGTTTTTCTATGCTCACTGTCTCTTCCCCAACCCAGGTATATCGCTGACCTACAGACATCCCCCAGTCCCACTTAGTAGGGTCTGCTTCCCCCAGGTCCTGGTGAACGAGGGTGGTGGCTTTGACCGGGCCTCAGGCTCCTTCGTGGCCCCTGTTCGGGGCGTCTACAGCTTCCGCTTCCATGTGGTGAAGGTGTACAACCGCCAAACTGTCCAGGTGACTTGAGCACTGGGCCCCAGCCCAGCTCAGGAGGGAGATTGGAGGGGCAGGGGTGGGTGGAGCTGAGCTGTCCTCAGGGCAGACTCTCCATTGACCTGTGTCCTGGGGGATTGAGGGGAGGGAGCAAGGTAGGAAAGGAACTCTGGTAGCATAGTGGCTAAGGCACTTGACTGCTAACCAGAAGGCTGGCGGTTCAAACCCACCAGCCACTCCTCGGAAGGAAGATGGAGCAATCTACTTCCGTAGTGATACTGCCTCAGAAACCCAAGGAGCACTCACTATGAGTTGGGTCTGACTTAAGGGTACATAACAACAACCACAACAAGCAGAATGGGGGAAATGTGCAGCTCAAATGCTGGCCAACCCCCAGGTTTCCAGGATTGGACAGACTCCCTCAGTGGGGCTGGAGAGAAAAAAGGAAGCCCTTTGGGGTTCTGAGATAAGGGGAACCTAAGGCTGGAGGAGGAATACTGACCAGGTTCCCCTCCCCAGGTGAGCCTGATGCTGAACACATGGCCTGTCATCTCAGCCTTTGCCAACGACCCTGATGTGACCCGGGAGGCAGCCACCAGCTCTGTGCTGCTGCCCCTGGACCCTGGGGACCGGGTGTCCCTACGCCTACGTCGGGGGAACCTGCTGGGGGGTTGGAAATACTCAAGCTTCTCTGGCTTCCTCATCTTCCCACTCTAAGGGCTCAGGCTTTTCAAGGGCAGGAATCCAGCCCCTGGCCACGGCACTCTCCTGCCCCAGAAACAGCACCTTTGGGGCAGAGGAGAGGCTCTTTCTGGCTGCCTGTATCCCACCCCCTTGCATGGGACCCTGTGCCAAACACCCAAGATTAAGAATAGAGAAGAATAGAGCTGTGGCATCTCTGGACCTGGCCACGTATCATCCCACCCTCTCATCTGCCCTCCCAGCCTCCCCACTGCATCTCTTCAGTGCCTGCAGCCATAGGATCCGGGCAGGGTTTGGCAGGGAGGATGGCTTCCACTACTTTGCGACCTCTGCTTCTCCTGCTTTCCCATCTCAGCTTCCTGCCCCATGCTGTTTGGAGACAGGTGGCACAGGTGAGCCTGACAGGCTCCCACAAGGGACCAGATGGACTAGCCTGGGCATACCCTGCAGGCTCCTTCCTGTGAGAAGAGCCAGCAACCTGGATCTCCGCCAGCATAGTCAGGAGCTGAGCCAGCACTGTGTGGGTGAGGGCAGGAGGCTCAGCCATGAGCAGCAGTGTGGGGAGAGCTGTAGAGCAGCCCAGAGGACGTGGCTGGTGGGGCAGGAAGGGGGAATACATAATACATGTTCTAATGTACACAGGGTAGCCAACAGGCAGGGATCCTGGGCACCCATCAGAGCCAGGTAGACTCTGGCCTTTACCTCCCCGCTAGAGATAAGAGATATGTGTGTTTGCTCTGGCATTGTTCATGAGTAGAGCCTAGTGCAGGTCTACAGAGCTGCCCTGGACAGTTGAAAGTGGGAGTGAAGGGTCACATATCTATGACCTCCCATAACCACTCCACCTTGAAGTCTGAACTTGGTCATTCCACACTCTGACTGCCACCTCCTTCAGTTACCTACACTTTACCTATTCCAGTCTATTCCAGTCTATTCTTTCTCCTAACCCATGTTTCTTATCCTCCTCCTTAAATTTCCTACCCTCTTGAATTCCATGATCTATCCCTCCAAACAATATCCTGCCAATATCTTAAATTCTGTTTCTTTTCCCACTGTCCAGTTAGCTCAGCGTGGATGAATCCATCAATAAAGTGACCAGCGAATGGAGGTCAGTGAGAAACTGTAAGATCACTAAAGAGAGGGAATGCCATTATAGTTTCTCGAGGTTAAAGGATGCAAGCAAGAATGTTGTAGAGAAAATAAATGTAAAACTGTATGTTGTTGTTATTGTTGTTATGTGCCCTCGAGTCGGACCCAACTCATAGCAACCCCTCCTTGGGTT